AATGCGAGGCGAGTGTATTGCTGTTGTGGCGACGCCACTCAAGCTAAACGAGCCTCAGCAGTCGATAGTCCGCTGCTCTCTGCTGTGCGTGCTTCAGCGCGAACATGTACACAAGCTCGTCTTTTGATTTCAACCAATCAGCGTCGACGCAACGACGTCACACACGACGTCACACACGACAACAGCTAAGCTAAACTAGCCGAGACGACACTCGAAGTCGGACGGACACGTTTTTCTGCCAATCTGTGTGTTTCCCTTTTTGTCCAAATATATTTTTTACGACAACTGTCTTGTCCACTGTGTCTTTTATTCGTTCCCATGGTGTTTAGCAAGTGTGTTTATAAATAGACGAAAATCTCTTTCCTGTTACTAGTGTTAGTGTCTCAACATGGCTACGCTCGTGAAAGCAAAACAACGAACTCAAGCGCGTCTTCGTTCAATGATGTCAACTAATATCTGGATTAATTTTTCGGCAAATTTTCCTCAATTCTCCGGAGATTTTCATAAAAAATTGAAAAACCCGGAATTCCGGGAAAATCCGGAGGACTTTCATCTCTGGTTAACAGATGCATCGTGTTGAATGAATAGTGTAGAGCTGGGGTGTCAAACCCATTTTTGTCACAGGCCACTTTTGAGTGACGTCTTTCCTCGGAGGGCCGTTTTGACAGTGAAACCACAAAAATGTTTTATCGCATTATTACTTGTAAGGGTAACAACATTATTGCAAAATCTCAACGTCATTTATTACACATGATAATTTTACATTTCAGTACAATTTTTTTTAACAATGATCATGCAAGCTGACAGACATGATTTTCTTTCGGGGGGCCACATAATATGATGTGTCGGGCAGGAGTTGGCCCCCGGGCCTTGAGTTTGATACCCGTGGTGTAGAGCTATGTGCTGACCTGTAAATGAAGTGAATAAAATAGGAAATACAAGACTGATTCTTGAGAAAAATACCTAAATTAAAGTCCAATATAGTTCAGACAGTGATCCCGAAGTGCAATGAACCTAGCTGCTAATGGTAATGTGAATACGCTTGTGATGTCCTCTCCATCTCGCCAGTAATTGGCAAGCTAGTATCTTCCTGCTCCATTCACAAAGTGAACACAAAAGCAAAAGCGCTTTCACTGGCGTGATACGCCAGTGAAAAGTAGCAGCCCACGGGCTAGATTTTTATTTATTTTGGCTAACGGAACCTTATTTTCCACTTTTTACTTCTCCAGTCTCATTTCTAACCCTCATAATATACTCATCGAATAAGTATTTTCACAATCGGAGATGAGACATTCCCTGTTCTTGTTCTAAGCAGTTTTAAAGCTGAACTTCATGTATTTTATATTAGGCACCTTCTTGGACGGCACCCTAGGAAATATGTGTCTACAGATATGAATAGGTAGATACGACCCGCCCCTTTTAGCTGCGTGCCTATGGCAAAGTTAAGATAGGAGGGGCAAAGGCATCATCACATTCCGTCTGTGTAGATGGCAAGAAATTCAAATGACCAAGGACAACCCCATGCAATTTTTACTAGGGAAATGGGAATAACCTACCACTGGTAAAAATGTCTTTTTTTTTCAAATGTTTTGTAGTTATACAACACATTTTGGTATTGACAAAACAGAAAACCTGATGAAAAACAGTTGAGGAATAAGCAAATTTGCCAAGTATTGCCATTGATGGGAAAATGATCGCTGCAAACATGGCTAGAACACAGGCACAGGGTTAGCCGGGTTGCTACAGTGTGCTGGCGTATTTAATTTTTATATCTGTGGATGTGTTTACTTGGTGTCTTTTACGTCAGGTACCTTGTTGGACAGCTAAGGGGTCCTCAGGAAGCTTTGTTGGCTTTGTGTATTATATGTCAGGCACCTTGTTGGGCAGCTAAAGGGATGTGTGTTGAGTTTGCAGCAGTTATTCTCAGTAATTCTCTTTTATGGAGGCCTCTTATGTTTTGTGATGAAGATACTGGACAGAAATATACCAGGCAGCACAATGTGGATAGCGTGAGTCATTCAGATTAATATATTTTAGAGAGTATTTGTAATTCAGCCAACTGGGGACAATTGATAAGATCTATGTAAATTGGAATAGTGTGTCAACATTAAAGCCACATTGACTCTCCTCTAGGCTTTACACGATCAGGATTTTTGGGGACATTCACCGATCGGCGAGTTAAAAAAAATTAAAATAAGATCACCAATAACTCATCCGCTCACAAAATGGAGCAATATGTCCATTTTTTTTATTATTATGCAAATGAGACAGTGTGTATAATGGAACATTTCCAAGTGAATATGTCAGATTATAGCCATTGGCAAATTTCCATCTGTAGTCTTTTGGCAGATTGTGCTTTGATTTGAACATCAGCAAACGTATTCAAGCATTTTCGCTAATGTTAAGCAATCTTTGCAATGCCGCAAGGAAGGAAAGTATAGGGGGGGAAAGCAATAAGTGTGATTTGAGCATACTCATTCACAAATGAGTAGAAGTGAATTTTTATTTATGAAAAAGCTGCTTTCAGAAAGATGAAATATAAAAAAAAAATACAGCTAAATACTTAGTTGGAACCTTTTTCAAAATTATTTTAAGGAAGAACTTGATTTGTTAGTCGTAACACCTGCGTAGCAGGCTGAAGTGGGGACAATGAAATTGTACAGCAGTCTTACACTTTATTAATGGATATGGGACATGGCATATGTATCTTTGAAGGCAGTGAGAGAGTTATGAAGCGAGCTCAACACATTAAGTGACAGTGGCACGTGCCTTTGAATCACAAAGATAAACACCTTTGAAAGTGCATAATTGTGGACAATAAAGAATATACATTGTTCCATCTTCATAGATGCATGCTACATTGTGGAGCATACTGGCCTGTTGTTTAAAATGCAAAATGTGCTCTGTTTTGGTGTTCCCTCTAAGTAATTGTCATATTTCGCCGTCAACGGGTCAACAGGGTAAACAGAGTTACGCTGTTTGAAATATGCTTGGGACGTGGGGGGTAACATCTTCGTGGTCAGTTTGCTCCCTGTAAATGTCTTTTGGCACCACAATCCAAAAAGACACTGACAACACTACGTAGTCTTTGCTCAACTTGGAGTGGTATTTCCAAGCCAAAACACATATTGACAACATAAGGGGGAACGAGTGTACTGTAAAAGTGACAAGTCGGAGATTACACCTGCCGGGAATAGCGAGAGTGATTGATCCTGTTTGAGCTGATACCACAAAGACTGATTTCAAAATTTCAAAAATTGATATGGTTGATACTTCAGTCATTTGAGGCACTGTATTTGCAGTAACGTACCACAAAGGAAATCTGAACTAGAATAAATTAGCAGACTCATACAAGGACCCCACACACGCTACAATGGGGGGAAAGGGGGTGGGGGGGTTACTGTCAATCCAAACTGTAACCGCAAAGTAGACTACGGAGGCTATTAGTAGCTGCATCTGGAGGGAAGCAGAATCATACTTTCAGTTTAAATTCTGACTGCTCAAAGTGCATTCAATGAGAGCCAACAAAAGAAATCTCAAGTGGACAATTTTTTTAAACACTACCAATTAATTAATGGAATCTAACAACAACTCTGGTTGAACCGACTAAGTGATGCATCAACTTTACCACTTCACAGATACCTAGTGGTCGATTAATCACCAATCAAGTGTTTTGGCAAGAACAACATGGACACCTCATTGAAATGAACCAGAGGGAGGTTCACGCAGAAAACTAGCGGCAGTGCCTTTGGCACGTGGAAATACATTACTAAAAATGAGACCGATATGTAGCCACTTGCAAAATATGCAAGCCTATCCTCAATGACAGCAAAACCAAATGCTCTGCACGCCCATCCAGTGACGGTAGATGACGAGCAGCCTTAAAGTCCCTGTAAAGTGAAAATAAATGACTTTAAATATGACACACCATTCTTCTCTGTGGTGGTCAATTACTTCTGGGCAACTACTCCTGCCAAATTTGAATGTGAAGTATTTTTTTTAAATGACAGGCCAACTTACAATCATTGGTGGGGAGATAATGTGAGTGCAGACCATGAAGCCTGATGACAGCGAGACAGGAGGGAAAGAGTTGGCTCTGCCCCATTCACTCGTAACAGCTGAGCCATGAAGCCCTGTTATCTCAAGTAAAAGTTTACAAAACGATCCTTTTTAAAATGGTCACTGCAGAGGCAGATGCTCTTGTGGATTTTCAGCTCTCCATCACTGTGGCTCTTCAAACAGTCAATCCACCTCTTCCTCCTTTTTGGGGAATTGAAATAATGACATAGAGCTGTTCTGTAAATTGGGGCATCCAAGAAAGATGCACTTTCTGGATGTAGGCAAAGCTAGCTAGTTAGCTAACGGCACACTGTCGTGGTCCAAACTATATTGTGAGGAAGTGCTAACTCATGCTCAACGCCCAAATAGGTTGTTACAGTCACACACAAAAAAGGAAAAGGTTTAACGCTATATCTCAAAATCAAGTGTAACTCTCGGTCTTTTTTACTCTTTCGGCAATTAACTTCAAACCACTGATCCAGCCTTCCTGTGTGGAGTTTGCATGTTCTCCCCGGTTTCCTCCCACATTCCAAAAACATGCATGGCAGGTTAATGGAACACTCTAAATTGTCCCTAGGTGTGAGTGTGAGCGTGGATATTTGTTCGTCTGTGTGTGCCCTACGATTGACTGGCAACCGGGTCAGGGTTTCCCCCGCCTACTGCCTGAAGACATCTGGGATAGGCTCCAGCACCCCCTGCGACCCTTGTGAGAATAAAGCGGATCGGAAAATGAATGGATGGAGGGACATGCCGAGTGAACTGAAAAAAATAAATCAATCAACCAATGACATTTATTAGATGAAGTTGACTCGACTATCATCACCTTAGCTTTGACTACAAAAATGAAGTTGTTCAACCCCAACTACAAAACGAAGATTCCACAAGATGGCACCCAAGTATTTTATTACTTTGGCTTGAGCACAACAACAGAACAGATGACATTTTCAGCATCACCATAGCTAGGGTCCTCCCCCCTCCAAACCCACTGAAGGAAAAAAATTAATCAGTAAATATGTGAATGCCAAACCATGATTATGCAGTATCTGTAGACTGCTATGATCTGCGTTGATGTATTTGGCTGCACTACTGTCCTCTATTAGTTTGTTTCTTTGGCATTTCAAATTACAGAGTACTCTTCAGCAGTTTCAGACAAGTCACCCTGAGTATTTAAGGTAAAATATGTATGTTTAAATCGTTTGCAACAATCAGAATGCATGCTCCAATAAAATTGTTAATGCAACAGTCCATCAAGCAAAGAGGGCTTTTTTTCCTCGAGCAGCAAATAACATATGAAATTAACAGAAAAATAACACTGCTAAGACTAAAAAAGTGACAGCCGTTATGTTGGAAGAAATTGAGGACGTAAAGAAATGCTATTACGTTTACTTTATATTGTGGATGCGTTGGGTGAAAATGAACGGAATTACCCAAATTTTAAACGACTAAGGACTGTTTAAATGATATTATATACGAGTTCACGGGATCATATGGGAGCACAATAGAGAAGGGATCATCGAGACACTATGGGTGAAATTACAGCTACAATGAAAACTAACGACTGCAGGCCTCACGTTGTCTCCTCTCTCACAGTGGGAGTGTTTAACCATTAGATCTGTGGGGATTTAAAATGCTTGGTAATATTAAGTATATTCAATCGCCAGACTTAAACAAGTACATTTGAATATAGTATAGAACGCCGTTTTCATCGTCCATGCAAGCCCCCTTGTGAAAGGTTTGAGGGGGCGGGGGGAAACACCGTGCAAAACGTTACATTACTGGACAACTACATTTTATGACTCACAATGGCACCATGCACTGTTTTACTGATGTATTGATATGATAGCTGGCAAGTGTGCATCCAGCGATATTGACGGTGGATCTCGTATCACGGCTAAACAACAGCGTGCTCGCGTCACATAGTTGCAAGCTAACTAGCTTTAGCCTAAGCTGCCAAATCAACGCTGTGAGAAAACCAACAATGACCACTTAGGACACTTTGCAGTCGGACGCAATGAACAAATTGACCCGCTGGTTAATGCCCAGAAGTAATTTAACACCTGGTGCAATTTGCTTACCATTAATCGCTTGAGTCTAAATTCCTCCGAGTCCGCCATCTTTAATTATGCTGCAGTCATTGGGTTCCAAACAGCAACCCGGCACCACCACAACCACCTCCTCCTCCTCCTCGTCCTCCTCCCCTTCCTTCTCTGGCCATGCCGCTTCTTCCACAGCTACAAGCAACTCCAAGAAGGATGATGCTATAAAGCGGCAAAGTTTCAGACTTATAAAAGACTATAAAATAGCCATTACTGTAACTACATAAATCAAACAGTGGTGGCCAAAGTACTGTGTACTTAATTGATGTACTGTACTGGTATTAGCGTTTAAAAAAAAACCCAAAAACGTAAGTACCAATTTTATTCAGTAAGTACAATTGTACAGGAGGTTTAGAAGATGCACAGATTTTCCCTCGAGCAATTAAGCTTATCTCTCACCTCTTGCTTGTTAAAAATACTCAGTACAGTACAGTGTTGGTGGTTTGTACCATCTCAAACTGTTACTTTTCTTCACTGAAATGGTCATGGTACACTCGTGCCTCGTTGTGCACACAAGGGCTTGACAAAACTGCACTTTTTGTCGAAATTGTGTAATAAGATTCCAGTGTGGACCTTGTTTGCTCTTTCTGGTTAACCCCTTGCAAATTTTTGCTATGCATTATGACAGTTTTTCTTTGTGTCCTCCTCATTTGTCCAATGCATGTCTATTGCCCAGCCTGAGATAACACACATTACATCTTGGAGACAACATGGACGGACCCATGTGTTGAAAATGTTGCCATAAAAGTGATGTATATCAATATACAGGTGAATTTTTCAGCTCGTATGCCTTTTTCTAAACGAAATAAATTACTTCCAATCAAGCCACACATGTAAAATTAAAGAACCCCTCCTTTAAGTAAAGGACCTGCTGGACTTGAAAAATTCCTGCAGGCAACCAACTCACTTGACAGACTTACCTGACACTGATTTGATGAACTCATGTGTGCAAGATCATTCAAGTCTTTGCGTTCATATTGTATTATTGCATATCTGTAAATAATGTTATCATATATCATAATATGCTTGTGAACTTTTTGTCTCTGCACATTTTTTAATTAAAAAAATCTCCAATGTTTTAAAGTTATTGTCCCAGACTTCCCTAAAACACAATTTGGCGCAAATCATGCATCGATCACATAATTATCTTAAAGCGGTACGTTTACCGTTGCGGGGATTGCGCTATGAGTTCAGCACGTGCGTCGGCACATTGGTGTTGCGAGACCCATCGGTTCCATTTGTGAAAGCATGACATTGGAAAACTGTTCCAAGAACTCATCAACATACAAACATATGATACAGTGCACAGCAGCAAAAAAATCAACTCAAATCAAAGTAATAAAACTAGGATAAGAAAATATGCTCACATGTAGAAAATTCAGATACTGTAATCACCATACAGATCATCCATCCATTTTCAAATCTGCTGATCCTCATAAGGGTCGCGGGCATGCTGAAGTCTATCCCAGTTGTCTTTTGGCAGCAGGCAGGGTACATCCTGAACTGCCAGCCAGGGCACACAAAGACAAATAACCAACCACACTCACAATCACACCTAAGGACCATGCATGTTTTGGAATGTGGGAGGAAACCGGCTTACCCGGAGAAAACCCACAAAGGGAAGTGGAGAACATGTAAACTCCACACAGGAAGGTCAGGACATTTTATCGGAATGATAACAACAGCCAACCATTAGGCCAGATGTTGGGCTGAAATGGACCAGTTGTTTGGGAGTTGTCCCAAATTTTGCCACCTCGCCTCTGTGTTACAGTTTATGAGTATGTGAATCGACGGACACAGCCATAAAACATATGGAAGAATGTACACTAGACAAAATTATAAAATTTCGAGACCGGTCTCGAGACCAGACCAAGACAAGACCAAGACTTGTGAAGACTCAACTCCCGAAGGTCTTGTCTCATTCTTGGGATTTTCGTTTGAGACCGCTCAAGACCAACACTGATCTGCTATTCTTCAACTGCATTAATGTGATAATATGGAGAATCTCATTGTAAAACAACAAATACCTTTGAACCAGTGGAGATTGCTCTCGGACTGCAAGGGAAGCTCAGCTTCCCCTAAAATGTCAAAGAATAAGTAAATATATGAATGTAAATTTAATTGTGTGTACATGTCATTGACTAAATATGTGCGACAACGTGCTCAACTTTTGTTCCGAATCAGCTTCTTGTTACTGGTTACGACACGACTCCCTTCTCATTCATTCCCACAGCTTCGCTGTGCTTTAAACGGTGGACGCTGAGCGTCCGCTGAGAGTCTACTGCTCGAGAGTTCAGGTAGGTTGTCCCAATGCGTTGAACGGAGACGAGTCATTGGATACAAACTGGTTTTTGTCCCGCCCACGGACGCTCGGCGTCTCTGGGATTGGATGGCAGTGGGCGGGTACCGGACGCTCAGTTTTTCTGCATCAGATTGGATGATCTGTCTGAGCCTGTGTTCCAGTTTGCTTGACATCGAAATGAGCCAATCACCGATCTTTTAGTGGAGGCATCCGTGGGAGTACTTTCAATTCTCATTCTGTTCTAAATTGAAGTGGAGACGACTTCTAATCCTCTTAGCAACACTCTCTTTGTTGAAAACGACAAGTGACGAATTAATCTTTTATTACTGGTTGGTTTTATTGTAGTTGCTGTAGTTGTAGGACACTAGTTAAGTTCCTGGAAAAGACACCTTGTTGGTATGACAGGGTTACAGATAATTTTCTTGAAAAGGAACGTAGAGTAGAATTCGCGTTTATATAAACGGACACATTTTATGATGTCGGCCAAAATTGAGCTTCCCCTCCTTGACAGACCAGCATCCGCCACTGCTTTGAACCCATCCATTCATTTTCCGATCTGCTTTATCCTCACAAGGGTCGAGTGGGGTGCTGGAGCCTATCCCAGCTGTCTTCAGGCAGGAGGCGAGGGACACCCTGAACTGGCAGTCAGCCAATCGCAGACCTTTGAACCAAGAATCAATTATATTGCATGCAATTGTATAGAATAACGTCTAAACTTGGTTGTCTGCTGTTTAGGGAAAACATTTTTAGTTTTTGTACAACCGCTGCATCCATGATTTTTATTGTAATTGCCCAAAAATTAATTGAATTTGCCAGAATTTTCGTGATTTGAACCGTAAACGACTCCTGTCCAGCAGATGGCAATACTACCCTTAAAAATGTGCAAAAGCTGCATGAAGAAACTGCTCTAAAAATTTCCGTCCGATGCTTTGTCTTAAAATTACTTATTCGTGAAATTGATCACACGCACATACAACTTCTGTTCATAAATTGTTTTGATGTATTTCAATCACATTGCTACAATGTGCCAAGTCTTTAAATTTACTGTACTCTTTGGTGTGTCCGTCTTGACTTCCCGTCTGCAAATGACACCGTGTCATTACCCGGAAGTAGTAGACAGACTGACGAGGCAGCATTTGTTGTCGTTTGAATATATATATATGCGTTTTTTTTTTTAAATTGTCATTTGTCGTTTATGCGCGTCAACGACTCGCTGTAGTTATTTTACGCTTGAGTTTACACACACGTTTGGTGACCGGTGGATGAATGGCGAGAGCAGTGGTGGCAGCGGCGGGCCCGACGTCTCTGTCCCGGTTTAGGGGAGCACTGGTCGCGGCTGTGCTGGGCGACTGCGTCGGCGGAGAGTTCGAGGGAGTTGAGGAGGTTCCCATGGAGAATGTATTGCGGCACGTAAACAGTCTGGAAGACGAGACGAAAGGAAATGGTGAGTGTCACAACATTATGTAAACCCACAGATGCTACTCAATAGAAATCGTAGAAAGGGTTCTGTCAGTCGTCATCTGTACCTGTGGGTAAAAAACACAGGACAGAGCAGGACAGAACTCTTAAGGTTGAGGTCTACAGAAAACCCACGCACACAGATCAGTATTTGCATTTCAACTCCAATCACCCGCTGCAACACAAGCTAGGCGTAATTAGAACACTTGAACACAGAGCGAGCCAAATCTCCACCAACACCAAGTCAAGAGAAAGTGAGGTCAAACACATCGAGAAGGCATTGTCAGGGTGTAGCTACCCTAAAGCTTGTGGAGGCTCTCAGTCGTACAGGAAAGTTCCATCGTAGAAAGGGTTCTGTCAGTCCAGACCGGGTTCCTAACACCCAAAAATGCAATCTGATTTATTCCATCCGTTGCCAAGAAAGTGAGTGCAAGGAACATTACATTGGAGAAACCAAACAAACACTCAAGAAAAGACTTTATCAACACAAATGGAAAAACAATGATAACAAAAGTGCAGTATACGCACACTTAAAAGAACCAAACCACACAATTGAAGATGAACGATGAACAAGTAAAGGAACAGAAAAGAGATGGTTTGAAAGGGGGGTAAAAGAAGCGATTTTTGTTAAAAAATTTTCACCCTCTCTGAACCGTGAAGGAGGTATCAGATTTAACCTGTCTCCTATTTACAATAACTTGTTGACCAGTAAGGGACATAGACATGCTGATCAGGCTAACTGAAAGTAGCTATTCAGCCTTAGCCCAAACAATAGGCCTAATCAAGACCCAATGATAGGGAATTTAGAAACCAATGGGCCTCTAATAAACCAATAGGGGCGTGACTAACCATCCCCACCCAGTCCTCAAACAGGCCACGCTCAGCTTTTTAGCGCAGAGCAACTTCCCGGAGTCTTCACGGAGACTTCAGGGTTGTCTACCGCTGACGAAGCTTCTGTGAGAGAAGCGAAACGTCCTTTTTTGCTTTTTTTGTTTTTTTGTTTTTTTGTTTTTTACCCACAGGTACAGATGACGACTGACAGAACCCTTTCTACGATGGAACTTTCCTGTACGACTGAGAGCCTCCACAAGCAACTCAATAGAAATAATAATTCGGATAAGCACAACGCTTACATCCATTTAAGGCGTTTACAAATATGTCATAAAATAGTGTACATTTGTGAAATTGCATCAGCAGTTAACACATTGTCAGAGAGTCGACATCAAATACCGAGCATTAGTGGAAAACTGGATTTATTTTCTGTTTATTTAATTGATATTTATTTGTCAGCATGTCTGCTTCATGGTTCTCACGTTCTCTGTTTCAATGTCAGTTGCGGCCAATCTGTTTGGAGATTGCACGTTCTCCCCGTGCAAGGCACATAGATGCACAGGATGAACCATCTCAGGGTTTGACATGAACAGTGGTCCCTCGCCACT